TTGTCCTAAAAATATAGTATAAAATACTATTTACATTATGTTGCAATCTAGAATAATAGGCTAAAGGTTAGATGGTAAGGGAGGTGGGACGCTACAACATGACGTCATGAGTTGTATTTTTGCTACGAGTGGGGACCCGTTCTCCACTGAACTACCCTAAAAAGTAGTAGCAGAAGTATGGTACACCAAAATTGGGTCCTCATCATTTATTTGTATACTTAACCGTAACATTCATCAAATTTAAAAGGGTGAGGTTTTTATAAGGTGCACTCCTTATATTGTAGAAGTAAGGTGAGCCTCTAAAATTTGTTTGGAGATGTAGTTTTAGTATCCGAAACCTTATGATGGCTCGAAAATATATTTTTATTACTAGTTATGAAATTTAAAATTTAAAAAATGGTATAGATAAGCATATCCATAAAACACTTGAAAATCTTGCAAATGGATGATCCAATTTTTAAGACTCGAATTTTTTCTTTCAATATCCACGCATCTCGAGGTCGAGATGATCGAGTACAGGATTCTCGAACACTAGAATACTCTCTTCTAGAGGATTTTTAAGATGCACCTTATTTTAATAGTATAAGGTGGCAACCTTATATAAACTTCGTCCAATTTGAAGTAGGCTTTTTTATTGGTTTTTGTCAATGGAATTGCCATTTCCTCCCATATTTTAAATGATTTGTCACGCTTGGATTTCTTATTTGGGAACGATGTGTGGGCTATGTGCAATTTGTGGATATCGCGTGTTGCAAAGGAACTAAAGTAGGATTATGTAGCTAGGTACTGTTGAAAAGTGGGCCCTTACCCTATTCCGCTAAGCATGTCAAGTGGCTCAAAGTTAGGTAGCGCACCATTGTTTCACTTAGATAAATACACAAACATTTAAGGATGCAGTTTTTATAGGGAATGGGCTTTATGAAAACAAAATAAAGCCTCACCCCGAATCTTCGTCCCGAAAGCACGTCGGGCATTAGAAATCTTCACGATAGCTCTAAATTTCTACCGCCAATTATGAAATTTGAAGCTAAAAAAAATGTACAGATCGCGTGGATCTGTGAACACTTTTTTATTTTTTTATGACGAAATGAACAGTTTAGATAATGCGTTGCAATGTACATTATTCTTAGTGGTTACGGACGCTAGAAGAGCAACTTTTAGTAAATTTTGAGATGAGGCTTTCCTTATTTTTATAGGGCTGCTGCCCCATCAAGACATTTTCCAACATTTAAACGAATGAATGCACCAAGAACAATTTACTTGTTTCCAAAACTGATTCTAAACCTAACAAAGTGGCGTATCTATGAGGGGTGGGGGCAGGAGTGTCACGCTTTGCCTGTCTTTTGAGTAACAAATGGTAGGAGATATAATACAAATCGATAACGACTATTTTTCTCATATCTTTTTTTATCAGGAAAGAACGAAAGAGAAACCCATGAAGGGCACGTACGGGTACTGTAGTCTATACTCTGGGCATTTTTATTACATAGGGCGGGCTGGCGAAAGAAACTGTCCCACTGTTTGCAAAACCGGTTGGGTTCAGGAACTTTAAAAAATAAAAATTCAAAAAATTATAAAAAATTTAAAATTTTATTTGTAATATTTTTATAATATTTTCTATTGTTATGAAAAAGACGGAGAAGTATTTTGGCTATAAATACTTAATTTTATATTTTGAAAAAATTAAAATTTTGTTTGTAATAATTTTATAATATTTTCTATTGTTTTGAAAAAGATTGGGAAATATTTTGGCTATAATACGTGTTTTTTATATTTTTCTTATTTTTTATATTATTTCTAAAATACCCCTGGGCAAAATTTGATTTTTCAAAACCTATTTGGTGATTACTTTTTAAATCTCATTTGGTTGCATTTTTTTTAATTGTATTTTAAACGTACTTTTCATATTTCTTTGCACTTTTATTTTTTTAATTTTTTTTTAACCTTTTTAGCCCGATCGGGAACTCCCTAGTTAGGGCCGTTTACTCGGGGCTACTTGGACCTGGCCATTCCCAAGCCGTGTTTTCTGACATTGATTGGGCCATTAAGGTGGCCTAAGGGAAAATGATGGCGAGCTCAAGGTAGGCCCGGGTAGGGTCATAACAAGGGCAACTTGACCTAGCTTTTTTTTTCCTTTTTTCGTTGTTTCGTTTGAGTCGACTAGGTCTCGCCCGGATTAAGGCCAGAACCATGGCTTCTTTAGCCAGATACAGGCCAGACCTAGCTTGAATTGACCCATAAGAGCTATCGCCGGGCTCGGGCCAAGGTGGCCCCGCCTGGACGTTGCTCTTAGATAGAGGTTTTTTGTCATTTAAATAAAAAGCGAGGATATTTTTGCATCACTCCAATTTTTTGTATGAAAACAAGAGCTTGGTGTTGTTTTGCTAAAGATTGTACGTAGTTGAACAAATTTTAATTATGGAATGATATGTTGTGATACTATTTATTTTTTATACAAGAAGGTCATAATTGGTACTAGCCATTAGATATTAGATTGGATTGGCTTGGGGTGTGTTACAAATTTTGAGAAATTTTTTTTTTGAACGTAGAGTCTAGTCAATAATATACTCACAACCATCCGATTTCAAATCTGATAGACAAAAGTGATTGTGACCTCATTGTATTAAAAATAAATGAGCTATTTATATACTTTCCCTTAAATTATTTTCTAAAATATGGAAATGCATATAACGAAACCATTTACTTTTGATATAAACTGCATACAATGAAACCATTTACTTTTGATATAAAATGCATACAACGAAACCATTTACTTTTGATATAAAGAGGCCATAATCAGCACTGATCGTTAGATTTGAAATTGGGTGGTTGAGGGTGAATTGTTGTTTGGCATAAAGTCCAAAATAAAATATTTCAAATGCTGGGACGCACTTTTAGGTATGCGTATGGTTTGCCCCAAACAATTAAAGTAAGGTGTACCTTCAAATAATATCGAAAGATATCGTTTCAATACCAATAATCTTTTTTGATGGCTTGAAAATTTATTTTTATCTCTAATTATAGAATTCAAAGCTTAAAATATATTGTATATCGAACAAATCTATAAATATTTTAAAATCTTGAAAATTGACAGTCTAGGTAATGCATTACAAGATGCACTATTTTCGAGATTTGAATATATATATTTTTTTAGGTTCATTATCTCAAGGTTGAGATAATCGGATTTGAGGGTTTTTCGGTATTGAAACAACCTTACCTAGTGAATTTTTGATATGCGCCTTGGTGTGATTGTTTAGGGCCTCGACCTTATATAAATTTTTTCTTTTATCTATTAAATTTCACATCCATTCACTAAAAAAAATGGTACCGTCTCATATAAAAAAATAAATGATCTCATACCATTCATTCCCTTCGTGGGTGCGGTTTGTATAGAGTCGATGCTCTAAACAATCAAAGTAAAGCGCACCCTCAAATAATTTCGAGAAATGCGTTTTCAATATTGGAAATCTTTGTGATAGCATTAAATATATTTTCATCTTTAATTATAAAATTTCAAGCTTAAAAAATAGTGTAGATGGAGCAGATATATGAAAGCTTAAAAATCTTGAAAATTGTCGATCCAAAAATGCATTATAAGATGTACTATTTTCAAAACTTGAAATCCATTTTTTTCTCATGTCTATGCATCTTGATATCGAGATGATCAATTTGAAGATATTTGTGCATCAAAACAACATCTTCTAGTGAACTCTTTAGGGTAGGCTTTAATTTGATTGTTTAGAGCCTCGACTTTATATAAATTTTTTTTTTCCTAAAATGTATGGAAAATTGTTTCATGCGAGCTGAAGTTATACGGTTCAAAAAGCGTAAACCATCCATCTTAAAAATAGATGCAAGTAAGTGTTCCATCTAAAAGTAAAAAAACTAAAAGTCCAAATGCTTTCTTACTAGAATTATCTTTTTAGTTTTTAAAAATTTATTTATTTATTCATAGTCATGGTCACCATGTTAGGGATTATACGGTATAAATTAAATCTTGAAATTCATCTCAAAAATAGATTTAAAAAGTGACCCATATTTATAGATATACGGGCCTCCATCTTACAGTACTAACCCCAGTCCGAATGGTAGATTATGGAGAGAAAAAGACAAGGGTCTTTTTGACAATTGTAGGAAGGATAGGGCGCTTTGTTACGAGCGAGAGTGCGGGGCCCATGACGCAGCTCAGCCTTATCCAGCGGGCGTATGCGTCACACGTGTAATCCGGAATAGCAGCGATTGCACATCTGAACCTTTGATATTCCCAATGCCATCTCTCTCTCTCTCTTCCCACCTAAACTAATAAAATTGGGACTCTCTCTCTCTCTCTCTCTCTCTCTCTCTCTCTCTCTCTCTACTCACTACTACGTACTACGACTACTACGTACGTACGTACGTACGTACGTACCGTACCGTACCGTACTACCGTACCTACCGTACCGTACCGTACCTAC